TTTTTTGCGGAACCAGGGATTGAACTCAGGCCTTTGAGCTTGCCAAAGAAGCACTTATTCCACTGAGCCATCTCCCCAGCTTCTCTCTCTCTCTCTCTCTCTCTCTCTCTCTCTCTGACATGTTCTTGCTCCATAATTCAGGCTGGCCTCCAACTCACCACATATTCCAGGCTGGGCTTGAACTTGCGGCGACCCTTCTGCCTCAGCCTCCAGATTACAGATGTGTGCCACCATACCTGGCATATCTTTCATTTTATAGCTCACGAAAGACTGTTATTATAATTTAATTAACCTTTTATAGAAGGGATGTGTGCAAATGCAGCCACTCCATATCCAAGGGTATAATGTCCTGCTATAACATTGCCTTAAAAGTTTAAACTATGAGTTATATGCTATCTAGTATCATTATTAATTCTTTGCTAAATATTTCTTTTAAGGTACTCCTTGGAGCTTTTTTTAAAGTATAGTACTTTATTGAATATGCCTCATTCACAGAAAAATAAGCTTTAATCTACAACAAATGCCAGATTACACAGCAGAAATCAATTTTCATAGTTTTCCATACTGATAGAAAGGTTCCTACTAAATGAGATAAAAGCCATAACATTATATTCACAAATTAAGTACCCTGTCTCAAAACATTTCACATGATTATTCACAATTCTAATACAATGATATAAGAATCAGCTGTTCTGTGATATTCTGTCACAGTAATGAAAAATCTAACAGAAATTACATTGAAGTCTGCTATAGCAAATTAAAAATGCAGATTTGTTACTAAGTATAGATAAAATGGTAAGACATACTTACACAATAATTTTTTTGAGATAGGGTCTTTCTGTAGTGCAGGCTGCCCTTGAACTCCCTTTGTATCCCATGCTGTCCTCAAACTTGTGGTACTCCTGCCTCAGCCTCTCAAGTGCTGGGATTATAGACTTTTGCCACTACTCCCGGCTATTACATAGTAACTTTAAATGTTATATTAAATGATATACAATAATAATCATGTAGTAAAAGCCAAAGATCTGCATGCATCTCTGCAAACTTCACACTTCAAAATAGAATCCTACTACTTAAACAGTAATGTAGTATTATTTAATTTGAAGATATATTTATTTAAGATTGTCCTATTGTATCAATTATAAAGTGTCCTTTAGTATGTAGTGAAAGTTAGGGTACTATGGGAAGAATATTTGAAAAAAAAAAATTTGCGACTTCCAGGACAGGTAGGTTGGTGAAAATTTTCACCTTCAAATTATGTTCCAGTTATTTTCCTGCCACTATATCTTATAGCTTTGAATAAATTAAGTCTCCCTTGAGCCTCAGTTGCTTGTCTTGTAAAATGAAGAGAACAAATCAGATACTCTCTCAAGTCACTTACAGCTCTGACCCTCCATGATTCTAGTATGTTGAGATGGAAATCCACATTGTATTAAGTATATGAGCTAAATTAAAACTGATTGGGGGGGCTAAGTCATTTTTTTTTTTAAAAAAGCTAGACTGAATTTGGTAAGAATAACTGTTTTGAAAAAGATTTTAAAGAATGTAAATATTTTTAAGAGCTTGACCTGTTTGCTACAATTTGTATCTTCACTATGAGAAACACCAAAAAGGTAAGTAATAATCACCAAGAGTTACTATGTAAGACTTGTTTCTAAGTTTCAGCCCAAATCTCTAGGTCAAGGCAAACTCATGGAAATGCAAAAGAGCATCAGGACGGGAATTAACGTTTATAGCAAGCGCTTTAAAGGTATCATCTCCGTGAACTCCCTAACCTTGGACGACAGGTATCACTCTCTCACAGGTGTCTTCATCTGGCTACCTTCTTTTAAACAGCAGATCTGACTAAAAAGAACTGTTTGTCAAACATTCCTCCCCATTTTCTGAGTTCTCTAATGACAATGACATGCAACTTTCCCATTTCTTCCACTCCCTTCACCTCTTTCCTCAATCACTTGGGTAATCAATAACAAAGTGATCTGGGTCTACATGAAACAATATATACAACTAACACTAGTGTGGTAGACTTCATTCAGAATTCAAAATATACATTTTTATCCATTAAGATGAAAACAGGAAACTACCCAAATTTAAATTACCTGAATTTAAATAATGTAAGAAAAATACAACAAAATGTCAAATATGTCTTCTTGGGGTTTTATTTTTATTTTATTTTTTTTTGCTCCGCATGCCTGGAGGGCAGGTTTGGCTGGCTTGAGTTGTGGAATCAAACCACAGCAACCTGAGCCTGACTGCTTTGTCAAAGCAGCCACTTAAAGAACTGAGCTAAGGGGAAGGCCCCCCTGGGGTTCTATTTTTATTTATTTTTTTTGCGGAACCGGGGATTGAACCCAGGCCCTTGTGCTTACCAGGGAAGCGCTTATTCTACTGAGCCATCTCCCCAGCCCCTTCTTGGGGTTTTAAAACAAACAAAAAACCTCATCCATTCTGTAAGAAGACAAAATACTCTAAAAATACTGTCAGTGAAGCATGAGACAGGCTTCATGTTTGCCTTTAGAAAAGACTGTCTCTGGCTCACTGATCCCAGAAAAACTGCACATATCACAATTTAAAATACAATCATCTTGATTCAGACATTCACATCTCAAGAATTTTTCTGGAACCGAATCAAACTCAGGACCTTGTGCTTGCCGGGTGCCGTTCTGCTGCTGATCTCTATCCCTGGCCCTGGAAATGTTTAACCGTATTTGATACTTACGTTGCTACTCCTAAAGGCCACTGGAAAACATCCACGTCATTAATCCACGGGCTGTCGTATGTGATGAACAGCAGCTCCACAAAGCCTCCGTTGCTCTTGAGGAACTGGGCCACCCAGTCATTACTGCAGTGCTCATTTCCAAGCAGAACTACAGCCACGTGCTGGAGTTTCTGAGACTGTACCAGGGTCTGCGCATAAAGTAGCCACTGGGTGGCATAGGAGACCTTTGCTTTCTCTCTGCCGTTTAAAACCAGCACCACATTGTTCACATCAGTAGAGAAGTACCCTGGGGCGACAGCAGGACCTGTGATGAAGCTGTTGAAACCCACCCAGCAAGAGTAACACAATCAAAAGTGGAACAAAGGTATTTGGTATCTTAAGATTTAAGCCATTTTACTTATACAAGGAGATTTAATGCATATTCTCTCTAGAACTAAAAAATTTCTATAATACAAGTTCTTTTGAACAAGTTTGGGTGATGAGACACAGCTGTAGATTACCAGGAAGCTATGGCTGGAGACTGATCAACTTCTACTCAGTAATCACAACGTGAGAACTTTTTTGTTTCTTTAACTTTGTTTAAGTATTCCATGTTCTGTCTCAAAATGTAAAGGAAGAAAGTAAGCTTCCATAACATTCCTACAATATAATTCTATGTCAATTTGAAAAGTACACTCAAAGATACTTATATGTCTGGTATCAGCATAAATATAAAAATTTGAATGGTGCTGGGTGTGGTGTCCCATGCCTGTAATCCAAGCTCTTGGGAGGCTGAGGCAGGAGGACTGCTGTGAGCTTGAGGCCAACTTGGGCTACACAGAACTCAAGGCCAGCCTGAACTGTACAGTAAGACCCAGTCTCAGGAAAACAAAACAAAACAAACAAAACCCAACAGAATGGGAAGATACACATCAAATTCATGACAATGATGGCCTCTGAAAAGGGAGGAAGAGGAAAAGGCCTAGGAAACAGGAGAAAGGACTTCATTTTTAATGGAAATACTGATTAACTGTGCTACTGCACATCACACTGAACTATATCCTCAGCCCTTTCTTTCCTTTTAAGATAAGGTCTTGTTAAGTTCCCCAGGCTGAGCTTGAATTTAGGGCTGTCCTGCCTCAGCCTCCCAGAATACTGGGATTACAGGCATGTACCATCATGTCCAGCTGGAAATATCTAATTATTTTAAGAATGTTAAATATCAAAGCTAATGACAGAGAGCTGCAATTTGCTAGTTCTGGGTGGTAATTTACTGTATTCCTCTGTTTTTCATTATTCAAAAAATTTCATAAAATAGACATGTTTCATAACTCATTGTCATATCATATGTTGCCTGGGACAACCTTTAACTATATGTACTAACTATAAAAATACTGTTAAATTCATCTTAAAATTAAAGTCACACTGATCCTGGATTCTTTAACAACTGAATTCTTGAAGCATTTCTTTGTATCTTGCTAGAATTTTAATATTAACACAAATATACCAAACTCCTGCTTTTATCCCTCATTATTATCTTTTTTTGTGGAATGGGGATTAAAGTCAGGCCCTTACGCTTGCCAGGCAAGTGCTTATTCTACTGAGCTATCTCCCCAGCCCCTTATCCCTCATTATTGCTGGGCATAAAAGCTGATACTTTTGTCTTTCTTGTACATGACACACAAACGCTGCATGGGTTATCATCCGTCCCCACAACAACTCTGCAGAGTGCACACTCCTCATTTTGAGTTGGGAAAATCAGAATTCAGCTGCACAGCCTGGGCCAGCAACACTGAGTTTAAATGAAGGGGAACATGGAGAGTGTGCAGCAGTTGGGCTGGACATAATGTGAACAAAGGCAGAGAAGTCTGGGGTTTCAAGTTGTGCAGAGAAGGAGGCCCCTTCTGTAGAGACACAGATTTGAGACAAAAGCCTGATGTCCCAAGAGAGCAGGGAACACTGGACTGAGCCTGAGGAGGGTTGCTGTCTGCTTGCAAATTCCCGGCAAACTGGGACCCAAGGCAGCAGATATCAGCTTCTCCTGCAGGCACCCTGTCCTTTGATCCCTTGCTTGAGATGTTATCGGCTAGCATTTGTGTGAACCTAGTGTTAGGCAAATGGTGGAAGCTAACAGAAATAGTAGTTTGCATTCACTTAGATAATTATGCACATTCCTTAGTCTGCCTTTACCCCTCAATAAATGTGAGATGCTTCTGAGGCTCTGAGCTCACTTAGAGAGAGACTAATCTCAGTGAGACCTCTGAAGCTACATTCATCAGGTCTTCTCGTCGTTTCTTTCTGCACTGACCTGAAACATACAACACCCTTCCACACAGGCAGGAGAACAGGCTGGGCAGGAGCCCTGGGCTAGAAAGAAGCCAGTGCATGGGATACTTCAGGAGGCTGACGCAGGAAGACTGTGTGCTCCCTCCAGTCTGGGGCCCTACAGACTTATTAAGGCCCTGTCTCAAAAGGAAGGTAGAGAAAAGGCTGGGGACATAGCTCAGTGTGAAGGCCCTGGGTTCAGTCCTCAGTACGGGGGTGTGGGAAGGGAGGAGGGAAAACAGTACAGAACGGAAAAGACACAGAGTGCAAAAGGTTTACAAAACCCTTTAATACAAATTTTGAAACAGAGTTGCCCCTTAATAAATGTCAGCTATTAGTCTGTAAAAAAGCAACCTCTTGAATTATATTTACAGTATAATTTAATAATATAAATAGAAAGGAGACTAGAAGTAGACATGACAAAATCTTAACTGCAGAACCTCTAGTTTTGGAATTCTGTTAAAACAAATTATAAGTTATTAAAAATTTACCTGTTATGAATATTCCAAATTGTTATGATATCCACTTATTAGTCTTTTAAATTATAAATCTATCTTTAAAAAACTCTAATTTTAATAATAAATGACTTGTACAGTTTTTGGTACCAGAAATTGAACTCAGGACCTTGTGCCTGCCAGGCAGGCACTGTTCTGCTGAGCTATCTCCCTGGCCCTAGCTTGAAAATTTTGTATACTGAATTTTTACATAAATTAAAATCTAAAGTCAGTCAAAAACACTAAGACATTTTATAATTCAGTCAGAAAAGTTACACTTTATTACTTTTCTGTATCATAACATTTTTTAAAAAATTCAGAATATCACGCTGTGGAGATAGCTCAGTGGCCTAAGTGCCTGCCTAGGCAAGTACAAGGACCTGGGTTCAATCCCTGGTACCACATGCTGTGCCTGCCCCAGGCATGCTGAGTCGGCCACCAGGACTGGGTGTGGTGGCACACACCTGTAAACCCAGCACTGAGAAAGCTGAAACAGGAGGATCATTATGAGTCTGAGCTGCATAGTGAGACCCTGTAGGAAATATATAAAATTAAAAAAAAAATCAGAATATCCTAGGCCTTTTAATTACCATCCCTCAAAAACTAGAAATACGTTATATTTATACAGGAAAAACCAGACAAATATTTTGTACAGAACTGTACAGAACGGGTGAGGGACCAGACAGTAGCACAGTGCTGGTGCAGCTAGTTAAAGGAGGTCATTATGAATGCCCCCAGCATTCCTGACCTAACAGGAGGCACGGCTGCTTGCTGGGAAAGAGGGGCTCAGGTAGGTGTGGGTAGTGGGCCACTGGTAGTGGACACACTTCCAGCCTCCCATCTGGGGTTCTCGCACCCAACTGTCTCCTTCAAAACATCTTTCCACACGGCAGTCAGAGAAGCGCACACACTCAGACAACAATATGGTTGTCCCCCCCAATCAACCTCAATTGCTTTACACGGCAACACAGTTCAAGAGCCTTAAGTAGTACATAGTGCATCTGAGCATGTCAAGTGCTCTACTTTAGTTTACTGAAGCTAAGCATCACCATACAATTGCATGAGCTAAAGAATAAACATTTAAAGAGCTCATGTCCAGAATTTTAAAAAAGATTTGCTTTTCTAGATTTCTTATACGCATCGATAACTTGTAGTTCCAATATTTTTCTTCTGCCTTCCTCAGTCAAAAATTTTCCTCCTGGGCTGGTGAGATGGCTCAGTGGTCTAAAGCACCTACTTAGAACAAGCTTAGCAAAGCACAGGGACCATGGTTCAATCCCCCAGCACCACATGCCA